TAGAGAGCTGGTACGTTGTCAAGTATGCGAGTAACGAAGGCATGATGATGCACATGAGGAGATTTGGCCAACGCCATGAAGCGGGTCGTCATGAGTTATTGTCCTCGGTTGAATGCTAATTGGTTCGCAAAATTTCTCAGACCAGTCACCAGGTCAGAACTGGCCTTGACACCCGCCTCGCATCCCTCGCTTCTCTATCAGTCGTTCAGACCTCGCGGGGCGGCCGTCGCCGGCGCCGCGGGCGGCGATGCCGGTCTGGCCGCGGGCCCGGCCATGAACGACCGAGGAATGGATCCCACCGACCCAGAGCCCACAATCAAGTGCAACATCGTCAGAAGGGATAGCGAGATGGAGTGCGTGGCGCATCTTAACCATGTGGCGCACAGCGCTATCATTCATCGCGACCGCCTCGAAGATGCCAAGGGCGCGACGACTGCGCGCGCGGCCAGGCTGCCGCGCCGCTCCGCGGGCGTCGGCGGACGCGCCAAGGGGGACAACGGCCAAAAGCTGAAGGCGCTCTAGGAGGCATCCACCGACATGTCGGGCCGCAATCGAGAGCTGGTTGATCGCAGCGAGGAGCCCAGGAGGGCCAGCGAGGAAGCCGAATGGCAGGGCGATGAACTACTCCAGGGCATAGCGGCGCGGATCGCCGAAATATCCAATGAAAGGCGCAGCATGATTAACGGCGCCGAACAGGGCGTCGCCGCAGTCGATGAGGTGAGCATGGCGCTGAGCGCCTCGCAGGGATCGAAGGCGCTGCTTGACCGGGCGCCGCGGGAAGTCGCCCGGCATCTCAGGGCGATAATTCGGGCGGCCGGATGCCAGGGCGACAACCCTGCAGACGCCGTAGCAGGGGGGGGGTGCCATTCATGGGGGCTCCGCCTAACGCGCCGGGTTCATCGCGCTCGCCCGGGCTCGGCAAGCTCGGTAGTTTGTCCGCGGAGCTGACAGGTCCGACGCCGAAAGCAGGGCCGCGCCAGTTACCGCGCCAGTCACCGGACCCAGTGGGCAGGGATTCACAAGCGCGTGTACATCGCATCGCTAACCTTGTTTTCTCGGATTTACCTCACGGGCACCTCGCCGGGCCGCGAAACGATCTTATCCTGGCGCGGGGCCGCGCTAAGCATGGCCCCAAATTCAGGAAGCACCGAGGCCTTGCAGTTAACTTCGGGGGTCACGGGGCGGTGGGGCGACCGATTCAGAGGCTGGGCGAGACGCGAGGCGCCCGAGCTGGAAGACCTGACGGGCAACGTCATGACTAGGGGCGACCGTGGCGGTCACCAGGACTCGTTCAAGTTGCTACACGGCAGCGTCGAATGCACGCAGCCGGAAGCTCACCTCAAGGGCCCGCCATAGTGGCGTAACGCACAAACGGATGACCGCAGGCAAGAAAACTACGAGTGGGAAAATTGGGCGATGACCATCCAGTTTGATTGGCCCAGACACATCGTTGCACGCCCGAGCCCCGCGGTTCCGAATCATATTTCCCGTCTGGTGTAAGATGGGGCAATCGGTGACGTAACCCTGGTATATCAGCAACATGCCCGAGCTCCTGGAGCGAGAGTGCAGCTATTCGATAATAACCTGGCATGCGATCCCTTTGCCATGCAGCGCCGCCGTGCTGGCCAGAAGTGCCCCGCAGCGACTTAGCGATCTACGTCGACCACGGGGCGTTCAAACAGGATTGGTTGCAGCGCAGTTCCTAACCGCAGAACTGGCGGAGGAGTTCGTTGCCATCGGTGATTGTCTGGAGTTTTCTTATAATCACTTCGACGCGACCGCTGGGGGCCTCTCGGGCACGACGCCGAATCGGTGGTGGCGCCGACGCTGGCGCGGCACTGCGCGTGGCCATCCGTAACTATGCAGACGCGAGTCGTTCAGGCAGATGCATAACCGAAGGGGTGATGTTCGGCTTCGCTACTGCCCCCTTCAGCCGCGGTAGCCGCCTGGGCGAATGATCTCGCGGCTGGCCCAGTTCCCTCCGGGTGACTTCCACCCGCGTGACTAGTCTTGGACCGTCAACCCCCGCTCGGGCATTGCTCATGGCCGCGGGCGGGGGGGCCGCGACCAGCGGTGGGTCGCACAACGTGTCAAACACCCAGATTTCACACGATGGAAGGCAGTCGGCCCGTTCAACGGGACGAACGACCAGTCAGCCAAGGGGCCCAACATTAACCTGGTGGAGTACATGGGGGCCTGGGCAGACAGCGAGGAGGGGGGGCGCCGGGAATGACAGCCGCGCGGCGCGCGAAGCCCGGGCGCGCGCGCGCACCTGGAAGCGCAACCGCGAGGGGGAGTTCGCGCGCAAAGGGGCGGGCAATGCCTAGGGTAAAGAGAAGCGACCGCGGTCAACATCCGCGAAGCCCAGGATGCCCTGAGCGACAAGTGATCATTGATCATTTTCCCACCTCGTTTCTCTCCGAGGTCCGTCGCGTAATTCGATTGGGCTGTTTCGCGTAAATGCTCGTGATGGGGCAGCTGTGATCCCGCCACGCTGCCAGTCACCTCTTCCGCTGCCCCGTCATCTAAGCTGTGAAGATTGTCAAGCTCAGCCTTTTTAGTTCTCGCGTTGTCGCCCCCGAGCAGTAACCGCGCCCTGCATTATTGTTTGATCTCATCATTGCCACTTGCCAGAACAATCTAGAAATTTATCCGCGCGCGCTGTCGAGTTAGCTCCAGATTTCACTGGTGATGGGCGACTTCTACAAGGTCGCGCGTGACCGACGCAACCTGGACCACCAGGTCGATGGGGGGCGTCTCAATGAGGGGCGCCAGGTTGCTGTGGAACCGCTGTTGCTTGGCTCAAATAGTATTACCGCCGTCGGGCGCTGTGCATGCGCGTGCACTTTCAGCGCTGACCGCTAGCTGCCAATCAGCGTTTCATCTTCGTCAATAATTTTAGATTTGCAGGATTTGGATAACGCCAGGCATGCTGCATTACAGCTCCTTTCGGAGCTTCCTCCCCGCACGTTTGGACGGCGAACGCTCCGCTGGACGGCGGACTTTCCGCGCGCCCCATGGGCGTGCCATTCAACATGCCCCCGGCGACTCGGGTGCGCGCTGGCGCGTGGCATATCTTTTTGGAGCTCTCCATGTGGGAGGCGCGAGTGGGAGACGCAGTGCCTCGCAGCGGTCCCGCGGCCCCAAGGAACGGCGCGCCCACGTCGCAAGACGCGCGCTCCATGCCTGGGCCGCCCTGCGGATCCGCGCGCGAACAGGCCCGCGGAACGCTCCATGCCGACGCCCCGTTTGGAAGCCCGAACATCATGCTTGCGGCCTCGGGATGATCATGAGGTTCTGACAAAAGGTCCCACTGCGCCAGCATTGGTTGCAGTGGCATGCGCGCGGCCAGACCCTTGACAGCACAAGCTAGTCGCCAATTTTACACAGGGAAGAACGGACGCGAGGCGAACTTGTTTGCGGTGGTCATTGGTGCCATAAATGGAGAGGTGCGCCTACGTCACAAAACGGGCGGGCGGTTTGAGGGGTACCGCAGATGTGGGCGCGAACGCGTATTTCAGATTCCCCTGGTCGACACCCCATTTGAATGCGCGAGGAAAGATGCTTCTTCGTCGCAAGACCGTGAGTGTTCGTGGGATGTCCCGCGGATGCGGGCGCGAATGAGCCTGTGGAACAACCCTGGTCGACACCCTGTCGACGGTGCGAACGCGATGCCTTCGATTTTGCAGCGGACTGACTGATGGGTGAATATGAGAATTGGTTGTTTTGCCTGCTCTGCCCCCGTAGTTTGCATACTATTGAGGATCGGAGCGAGCCGGAGTATGAGCGAGTCTGAGTGGCTTGTGAATCCCAGGAAAGGTTGTTCTGAGTGCGCATGGAGGAGTGTGGATGTGATTGGATACTTGTGTTCTTGAGTCTGGTCTTGGGTGATTGGGTGTGAGCGAGCCTGTGTGTGCGTGAGTCCGAGTATGAAGGAGCCGAGTGGATGAGTCTCGATTTGATTGAGTTCGGTTATGCGTGGGTGTGAATATGTATGTCTTGGTATTCGTATACATGGGTTGGCGCAAGTGGGTCTGAAGGCGAATGAGCCTGATAATGAAGGAGTCGGCATTTGAGCTGGCTTGAGTGCAAGCGAATATGGTACGCGAGGGTTTAATCATGCGCGAATTCCAGTGTGAACGGATGGGAGTATGAACGACTGAATATTGATATTTTGAGCGTGGGCATTTCTGAGCAGGTATGAGTGGTGACCATGCTGGAAACAATCGGGAAGACAAGACAGTGAAGTGAGGTGGAGGCGTGACATTCACAACAAAACCCGTAGGGTGAACGAGCACAACCTCCTTGGCGACGCGTGCGCACTCCCCCATTCGAGGACTCCGCTGCAGGGGCAGCGGTGCTGGAGGGAGCAGGGCGAGTCCAGTAGATCGGCGGCGAGCGAGGGGGGGAAATGAGAAGGAGAAGGCCTTCTCAGAAGTCGGCGGGGCTTCTCGGAACCTTCGCGCCTTCCGAGGGAAGGCTCAGACAACTTCTCAGAAGGCCGGGGGACTTCCGAGCCGTCTGAGAAGGTGATCGCTTTCTTCTTCATTGTTTTGCCGCTCGGCGCGGGCCCTCGCCCCCCCCCCCCCCCCGCCCCCCCCCCGTGGTGTAGATCTTGGATGTGTTTGGCGCCTGCTTCGAGCAGGTGGAGGCTGCCTCATGGGACGCAGTGGTGCAAACAGTCGCATGGAGCAGAGGCCCAGAGCCAGACCCCCCGACCTTGTCGCCCAATGTCGGAACGCCGAAGAAGAAAACATTCACAAGGCCGCGCTCGCTCGTCGTCGGGTAAGGGAGGAGCAGGAGGAGGAGGAGGAGGAGGAGGAGGAGGAGGAGGAGGGAGGAGGAGGAGGAGGGAGGAGGAGGAGGGAGGAGGAGGAGGGAGGGAGGAGAGGAGGAGGAGGAGGAGGAGGAGGAGGAGGAGGAGGAGGAGCCCCCCTCCTCGTCCTCCTCACTTCCCCTCCTCTCGCTCGTCGCCGGGTAGAGCCCGGGCGCCGCGCCCCATGCTGAGCTCCATCCCGGAGGCAGGCGCCGCCCGCGCGGAGGAGCTGCCCCCGCCGCGGCCGCACAGGCCCCCGCCCCGCCCGCGGAGCCGGCGGGAGACGCTGCTCGAGGCCGCGTGCAGCGGCTGCCGGGCAGTGCAGAACTGCTGGTTGGACCCCTAACAGGCCGGCCACAACTGGGGGAGCTGTGGTCCTCACCCCCCTGGGGGGCCCGTCGATTTCGGCACCCCTCTCGAGAGATCGTCGGTGCGATGGGTTCCCCCAGGGGGGTAAGGACCACAGCTCCCCCAGTTGTGGCTGGTCGGCCTAACGCGGTGGTGACAACACCCGGCGGTGAGTCTCGGGCGATTTGGTGTCACCACCTGGTCTGGGGATTCGTATGGTTTTTCGAGGATGTCCGGGACGCCAGTGGGTCCATAGGGGTCACAGAGCCCGGCGGTGACCCCGCGTTCCAAAACCCAGCGGTGACTTTTTGGGGATTCCCAGTTGCTGGGAAGAGTTTGATCCATGTCCACTGCGTGTTGGAGTTTTTGGCCCGCTTCCTCCGATACCAGAGGCGCCGTGGATATGGATGAATTAAATGTCGCCCCTAGGGGTCAGATTCTTATCCACGTCCACTGCGCCGCGGCCTGTTGGCGCCCCTTCCCAGAAAGACCAAGACGCAGGGGCCATGGATGTGAATCGTGCCCGCATAGAATCAGGAGGGGAAAAAACACACACAGACACAATCAATCGTCCACTCCCAGGAAAACATGGGAAAATATGGGAAGTGGGGGGGAAGACAGAAACCGAGAAAATATGGGAACATATGGGGGAATCCTTCTATTCGTGTGCATGTATTTGTGTGTGTCCCAGGGCCCCTTCGTAGAAGTCGCTCTCGGAGGGCTCTCTGGAACGCTCGGCAGAAGCGCCGCGGCGCCCGTGGTGCTGGACACGCAGAAAGCAAGAGGCAGGGAGGGGAGGAGGAGGAGGGGGAGGAGGAGGAGGAGGAGGAGGAGGAGGGAGGAGGAGGGGGAGGAGGAGGAGGAGGAGGAGGAGGAGGAGAGGAGGAGGAGGAGGACGAGGAGGAGGAGGAGGAGGAGGAGGAGGGGGAGGAGGAGGAGGAGGAGGAGGAGGAGGAGGAGGAGGAGGAGACGCCCTCCAGAGCAGACGGGCCGTCTCCGACGCCGCCCCGCTCCTGGCCGAGGGCCTCGCCCCCTCGGCACGTGCCGCGCCCTCGGCGGCAGGCCCCGGCGGAGGGAAGCGACGCGGCGGCGGACCCGCCGGCGGCAGCCGGCGGCGGAAGAAGACGTGCGACGTCGGCACGCGTGGGGGCTCAAGTCGGCGGCGAGGGGGGAAACAAAACACACACTGTGGGGAAACACACACACACACAAAAAAACACAGTCCGTGTGTTTGTTCCCACAGTGTGTTGTTGTTCCCACAGTGTTTGTTTTCCCACAGTGCATGTGTGTGTGTTTTGTCCCACAGTGTGTGTGTGTGTGTGTGTGTGTGTGTTTGTGTGTGTGTTTGTGTGTCTTTGTGTTTGTTCCCACGGAAGTGAGAAGGAGAAGGCCTTCTCAGAAGGCGGCGGGTCTTCTCAGAAACCCTCGCGCCTTCTGAGGAGTTTTGCTCTGTCTTCGGGGAAGGCTTAGAAGACTTCTCAGAAGGCTGGGGGACTTCCGAGCCTTCTGAGAAGGCCTTCTCCTTCTCACTTCCCTCCCCTCGCTCGCCGCCGATCAAGAGACGGGGGTCAATGCAAACGGGGGTCAGCCAGGGCGCCGGATCTTGCAGGATCCTGCAGAGCCAGGGATGCACTGACCCGGGCTTGGGCGCAGGATCCTGTATGATCTTGCAGGACCTTGCAGGATCCTGCAGGGCCTGTCTGACCCGGGTTTGGATTGACCCGGGTCAAAAGATCCCCGGATGTGTGGGTTTACGCGTTCCCATGCCCTTCTCTGTATTTGCTGATTCACCCCCTGGGGGGGGGCCTTCGGGCTGGAAGGCCGCCGGGGAGCTAAGGCCCCCCTGCAAAACTGTGCTCGATGCGGCGCTCGAGTTTCGTTCAGCGCCTCGGGCGGTCTCTCAGTGCTCTACCGCGTTCCCTCGCTTTGACTCGGCCACTAGGGCTTCCCCAAATCCTTCTGTTGGAACCTATAGGCTGCAGGGCCGCATGGGAGCTGGAGGGGTGCGACTCCATCGTCTGCTTCGAGTTCTCGCACACGGCGTCCTACGAGCCGGGCCCTGCGAATTACTACCTCGCGTTCGTGGCCCTGCATCTCTGGCACCTGGCTTTGGGAGACCCCCTCTGCACCCGCCAGTCAGGTCCTCCCCCCACTCTCGCCTCCCCCCTCTCGCCCCCCCCCCACATGGGAGGGCGGGGCCCAGCTTCCCAGGAGAGAGCATCACGATGGCGCTCCAGCGCTCTCAAGCGGCGCGCTGCGGAGCGCTTCCAAGCAGCCAGCCGACTCTTGAGACCCACTCCGCCCACGAGGCAGGGCCAGTCTCGAGAGGGAGCGCCTCGAGGGGGAGCGCCTCGAGAGCACTGGCCACGGGGCACCGGGTCGACTCCGGAGGCCCCCCCCCTCTCGCACAAGGGTGCCGTCTGGGGGGCCGCGGGGTCACGGGCCACGAGCCACCGATTACCAGCCTCGAACGTCTCCCTATCCCTAAGATTGACACGCCAACAGGCGATGACAATCTTAGGGGTCCGCCCTCAAAAACTAAGGGAATCCCCAAGATTGGCATCGTGATGAGGATCGGGGGAGCGTAAGACCCGGGTTTGCCAGAACTCGGGTTCGCCATCGTTTTTTGACGACTGCGCCTCGGATTTTGACGAGGAGGAGTTTGGTGGGATGTCTGCAGCGGGAGGCCTCGTCAAAAAGCAGGCTCGGCCTCGTCCTTTTTGTTGACGACCTCGTCGGGGATTTCCGAGTCCCCTGTACCCAGGTCTTACGTCCCCCTGACCCTGGGAAGGAGAATCTGGTTGATCCGAAATGGGGTCCAGCTGAAAAGGGGTTGGTACGATAGATGTTGGGCAATGGTATTGCAAGTGCGCTGTGCCAGAGAATCGGATTGACTTGCACTGCAACTCGTTTCGCTTGAGAATGTGTTGCACGACCCAGGTCTACTGCAACCAGGTCTTACGTCCCCCTGAGAGGAGATGCCCAGCATAGGGATAGGGATGTGCTCCAGGCTGGCACGCCGAGCCGGTTTTTTGTTCCCGAGCCGCACGCCTCGCGCGGGGGCAGGCGCGGCGCTCCAGAGCGGGCCCCGCCCCCGAGGATCGAAGGAGCTGCCCTTTCCTCTGCCCTTTTCCAGGAGGAGGAGGAGGAGGAGGAAAAGGTGAGGAGGAGGAGGAGGAGGAGGAGGAGGAGGAGGAGGAGGAGGAAAAGGTGCCCATGCCTCTACCCTTTCCTCGCTTTCCCCTTTTTGGGCCTCCTCGGAGACCCCCGTCGCCACCGTCGGATTCGCCTCGAAGTTCTGGTCAGAACGCACCCCGGGAGAGGTCCCGGGAGCAGCGGTAGCGGTGCCTGTTGACTTCCCCAGAGAGGGCGGCGGAGGAGGTGGAAGTGGCAGTGGAAGTGGAAACTCTGGCCCCCCCAAACAAGAGTCGGGCCGGGCGAAAGGGGAGGATTGGGAAAGGGGGGGTTACGAAATTTGCTGCATGCAGCTGGTTTCGGCCTCTCCGAGGGGCCCATTCCTCGATACATGGCCGCCTCCGGCGCCGGGAGGCGCCGGGAAAATCAGCTACGTGAGCTGATTCTCAAACCCCCCCTTTGCTATCCCCCCCTTTCGCCCGACCCGAAAGAGGCACGATTTTGGGTTGGGTCAGTGTTCCCGGCACCGGCCACGTGGGACGGCGGCCACGAGCCGCCCACCCGAGGCAGGAGCGCCACCACGAATGCGGGGGGGGAGGGGCCGCGCGGACTTGGGCCACGAGCCACCAGATTCCCTCTGAAGCCCCACCCCACGAGAATCAAGCAGTGGCGAAGCGTCCTGGCTCGCCAAAAGGCCCACCAAAGAATGTCCTAAGAACCTGTTTTGTGGTCTGCACGAACTGTTCTTAGAACATTTCTGGCTGGGTCCGTCTTGTTTTAACACCTCGGGTTTATGTTCAAAGAACATTGTTGTTGTTGTTGTTGTTGTTGTTGTTGTTGTTGTTGTTGTTGTTGTTGTTGTTGTTGTTGTTGTTGTTCTTAGAATGTACTTGGGTTCTGAGGACATCTCGTGGGAGGCCTATAGGAATGCCGGGACGGTCCCTGCTCAAAAGAGAGCCTCGGTGGGGCTGCGGTCCGGCCGTGTCCCGAGCCGGTGCTTCGAGCTACCCCCCTGCAATAGAGAGCCTCGGCGGGGCCGTGGGGCCGGGCTTCTTCTCTTGGAGCGCCAGCCCCACACGCGGGGCCGTCGTCCGGCGAGGGGTTTCCCGGACTGTGAGAAGCCCATGGCCGGGCGACTGCCAGGGATCCCTGGGGGGATCGGAGTACCTGTAGGGATTCCAGGCCTCCCATACTTCAGGAGGGGAGAAAACACACAGACACAATTAATCGTCGATTTCCCAGAAAATATGGGAAAATATGGGAAGTGGGGGGGAAGACAAAAAACCCAAAAATATACGAAAATATGGGGGATCGTTTTATTTGTGTGTATTTATTTGTGTGTCCTTGGGCCTCTTCAATACTTCGAAACCACGGTAACCCTTGATTTCGAATCAGGGGGCACCCGGACTCACTGCGGCCATCCCCGTTTCGTTTCTCTTCTGTAGTGGTTCCAGGTTTCCCACAATTCTGAATCATGGGGAACTTGGAATCACTACGAAAACAAGGTTGTCGTAAGAATTTCCAGCTTTCCCGTGATTCGAACCCCGTTCTTTGGGAATACGGGGAGTGGCAGTTCCCCAGAATTCGGAAGGTTTCCCGAACAACTCGGTGAACCAGGGGGCAGAGGCCGCTAAACCTAGAATCACGACGAACAACAAATTGTTTTGTCGTGGTACGGGAAACCTGGAATCGCTACGACCCCCCCCGTTTTCGTAGTGAATCCAGGCTTCCCATAAATTCAAAATCCTGGGAAAACTGGAATTCGAATTCTCCGAAGCCTGGAATCACTTCGGCTACCCCGTTTTTTTGTAGTGATTCCAGGTTTCCCATAATTCGGAAGTGTGGGAAATTTGGAATGACTACGAACAAATGGTTTTGTAAGGATTCCCAGGTTTCCCGTACTCCGAACCCCACCTTCGGGGAAACGGGGAGTGGCAGCGTCCCAGAATTCTGGAGGTTTCCCGCAACTCGACTTCAGAATTTCGGGATACCAGGGGGGAGAGGCCGCTCGGGGGGTCGAATTGCGGGAAACCTGGAACCATTACCAATTCCGAAGTATGCGAATATAGGAGTCACTAAAAAATATGCACTTTGTAGCGAGTCCAGGTTTCCCGTAAACCTGAAATCATGGGAATCTTGGAGTTCGAATTATAGGAAACCAGGTTTCCCATGAGTCTGAAGAGTGGGAAACTTGGGATCACTACCAAAAAGGCGTGGTTGTCGTAGTGATTCCAATGTTCCCGTAATTCGAACTGGGGAGCTGCAGTTTCCCAGATTACGGAAGTTTCCCGTAATTGGAACTACGGCAAACCAGGGGGGAGAGGCCGCTGAAGGGGACGAATTACGGGAAACCTGGAGTCACAATGAAAACTCAGTCATTTTCGTTGTGATTCCAGGCTTCCGATCATTCCGAATTGTGGGAAGCTTGGAATCACTACGGACATATATTGTTTGGTCGTGATTCATGGTTTCCCGTAATTCGAAATCGTGGGGATCTTGGATCTCGAATTATGGGAAATCTGGAGCCACTACGAAGAAGGATGGGTTTCCATAGTTCGAACCTCTAATTTGTGGAAACGCGGAGTGTCAGTTTCACAGGTTTCGGCAGGTTTCCCGCAATTCGAATTCAACATTTCGAGGAAGCGGCGGGGAGAGGCCGCTGGGTGGGACGAGTTACGGGAAGCCCGGAATCTTTCTTAGGGGGAAAACAACATGTCTTTTTGGTAGTCAGTCTAGGTTTCCCCTAATCCCGAATGGTGGGAAACCTGGAGGCACGTCGAATACCCATCTTGTTACAGTGATACCAGGCAAGGTGTCCAAAATTCGAAGTCATGGGAAACCTGGAAGTCGAATTATGCGGAACCTGGAATCACTACGTAAACCAAGTTTTTGTGGTGATCCCAGGTTTCCCATACATCGGAAGCGTGGGACGGTTTCTCATACATCGGAAGTGTGGGACACATGGAACACTACAAGAAAAGCGTGGTTGTCGCAGTGATTCCAGGTTTCCCTCACCTTGAACCTCTCATTTGGGAAACCGGGGAGTGGCAGGTTCCCAGATTTCGGCAGGTTTCTTGTCATTCGAATTCCGAATTTAAGGAAACTAGGCGGGAGAGGCCGCTGGGGCGGACGAATTACGGGAAACATGGAATCACTACGAAACACATGTTTTTCTCCATCGTCATTCCAGGTTTCCCACACTTCGGAAGTATGGGAAAGCTGGAACGTGTAAGAAACCTGGAACCGTTACGATTTTCTCAGTGATCCCAGGCTTCCCATAATTCGAACTCATGGGGAACTTGGAGTTCGAATTATGGGAGGCCTGGAAGCACTATAAAAAAGCGGGGTCATAGTGATTCCAGGTTTCCTTTAACTCGAGCCCCTCATTTGGCGAAACAGGGAGTGGCAGTTTTCCAGATATCGACAGGTTTCCGCAGTTCGAATTCAGAATTAACGGAAACCAAGGGGATGAGGCCGCTGGGTGGGACGAATTGCAGGAAACCCGGAATCATTACGGAAAGCGTGTCATTCGTAGTGATTCCAGGTTTCCCATAGTTCCGAATTATGGGAAACGTGGAATCACTACGACCCCCACCTAGTTTGTAGTGATTCCAGGTTTCCCATAGTTCGGAACAATGGGAAATTTGGAGTTCGAATTGTGGGAAATCTGGAGTCACTACGACACCCACGCCTTTTTTTGCAGTGATTCCAGGTTTCCCACACTTCAGAATTATGGGAAACCTGGGCTCAATACAAAAAAAGGTTGTGCTTTCGTAGTGGTTCCACTTTTTCCGTAACTCGAACCCATCATTTGGGGAAACGGGGGGTGGAAGTTTCCTTGAATTCTCATTGTTTCCCGTACTTCGGATTTCACAGTTTTGGGGGGACCAGGGAGGAGAAGCGGCGGCGGGGGATCGAATCACGCCAAACCTGGAACCATTACGAAAATCCATGTTTGTATAATGAATCCAGGTTCGCCATAATTTCGAATTATGGGAAACCTGGAGCCATTACGAAAACTATTTTTTTGGGTGTAGTTCCAGGTTTCCCGTAAGCCTGAAACCACTACGACCCTTTTTTTGTCGTAGTGAATCCAAGTTTCCCATCATTTGGAATTATGGAGAATCTGAAATCACCACGGGGGTGCCCTAACGGGCGGTATTGACCACGCCCCGGGTCCTCGGTTTGTCGTAATCCGTTGTTTCCGAATTGGAGAATTATGGGAAACCCCAAATTGTACGGCAGCCCACACGAAAGAGCCACGAGTGAGCCAGAAGCCGCGAGGCACCGAATCCACTCGCGCAGCCTCGCCCAGCACGCGCGTGCGCAAATGGCTGGGCCGCGGGCTAGGACGAGGATAGATCCCTCCCAAAGGGTTCCTCAACGCTCTCCGGGCGTTCAGGAACGCTCCGAGAAGGCCGCGGCGCCCGAGACATCCTGCAGATCCGCCGGATCTTAGAGACGTTCGATTCATCCTTACCCGATTTTGTCTTCGTCCTGGCCTCGTCGTACAAAGGGCCACGGGCCACGAGCCCGGCATTCTGTGGCCCACCGTGTATCAACGGCACCGTAACGGGTACTTACTAACGGGTACTTTGAATTTTTGCCGAAAGTTGCCACTTTAGGGTCTTTTTCTTGCATTGCAGCTTTGCCCACATCGGGAAGGGTTGGGTTCGCTGGGTCAGTGGCCAAAGTACCCGTTAGTGGAGTCCCCGTTTGAGGGGCGCTGAGTGTATGGTGAGGATTCAGGTCGTCCGCGGGGGCGCGAGAGGACAGCCGTGCCTCGCGTGTCGCGGTGCGGGCCGGCGCGGCTGCCGCTCCCCAGCGGGGGCGGCTCGAGGGCGCGAAGACGAGCGCGCATCGCGCAACGCGGGGCGCGATGCGCGACGTTGGGCGGCTCAGGAACATGCCCCCCCCCATCGATGAGAAAGAGCCCTCTGGAGAGGTCCTGGGGGAAGAGTTCGGATGGCGGGAAGTTAGGCGGCTCAAGAACATGCCCCCCCCGCCGATGAGAAGGAGCCCTCTGGAGAGGTCCTGGGGGAAGAGTTCGGATGGCGGGGGACGAGGACCAGATCGGCGCCTGCCAGACCATTTTGGCACGAAGGACACGGGCCCTGGCAGGAACGGGTCTTGGACCCTTGTGGCTCTCTCTTCACCCCGAGTCGTTCTTCAACGTTCCTGGGGCCCGTGGAGTGCCTGGAGAGCTTCCGATTGCGGGGGAAAGCCTGCAGGACCTGGGTTGCTCAGGACCCCCCTTCCTTCATGGCGGGTCTGCTAGGCACGGGCCGCTGCGGCAGCGCCGCGGGGTGCCCATCCTGGCGCCCCCGCGCCTGGCGCGGGTGCTGCGCGACATGCAGCGGAAGTGGCCGGACGCTGCTGCCCCGACGCCGCGCATTTCGGACCTCGGCCGGCGGGCCGCGAAGGGGGGCCTGATGGTCACCAAGCGCGTTCCACTACTCGCAGAGTGCCTGCTCGCAAGCGCACGAAGAAGAGATGTCTCCTTCGATGAGACTTATCGCAGATCCCCCGCAGCGGATCCAGGCCATTTGCGAGCAGTGACTTTGCGAGTAGGGGAACGCGCTTGTCCAGATGGGGCCTGGGACCGTGGCATTATTGTGAGGACTGTTCGCCAAGGCGAGGTCTGACGATCTGGCGCTGCATGGCTGAAGCCCTGTGGCCCCCTGTGCGGGCGCCTCTGACCGGCGCGGCTGGTCCCGCAGACAGCACGTTGACGTTGCCGGCCTGACGATGCTCGGAGCGATTGCCCTCCATTGTGACAGGATTCTGCTCGATGCATTGAGGGGGCCTTCAGGGCCGGCCGAGATCTCGGAGCGCTTCTTGTCACGACGTCGTAGGCCAGTGAATGGTTATTCCAGGATGCCGACGGCAAGCGATCATGGATGCTAAGTGTGTTGGCATGTTTTTCGATTCCAGAGATGTGTGGCCTCGATGGCGGGGAACACCGCTGCGGTGCTGTGGGCAGCGGAGGTTTCAGTACTCGGGGGCTCAGGGTGCCCCTCCGCCCCCCAGGTTGGCAGCTGAGTTGGGACACGGAAGCGGTTTTCGCGATCGCCCCACCTCTCAGAGCGTGCATTACCTACCCCGCTTTCGCTTCCAGGCAAAACCAGGCCATACCACGCGCCTCCTCGTCAAGTGGCCTGACCAGTAAAGGCTGCAATTTGGCATCGTTTGGTATCTCTTGGAAGCGAGGGTGGTCAAAAGCGAGGTGCGTTTGTTTTGCCCCTAACCTCCTCCGTTTTATCGTCGACGTTCCGAGGGACTGGAGAGCAGGCTTCTCTCCCCTCGGGCGGCCTCCTTGGCCGCAGCCGGAGCTCCTCGTGGGGCCCGAGGCCTGCGAGGTGCGTGCCGCCGTGAGCGGGGTGACCGCACGCGCACAGCCGCACGAGTGTCGTCGCTGGGGCTTCCCAAGGAGCACATTGCCAGCCTGGATAATATCCCTATCCCTATGCTGGGCACCTCCTCATCACGATGCCAATCTTAGGGATTCCCTGATTTTTTTAGGGCGAATCCCTCAGATTGTCATCGCCTTCTGGCGTGTCAATCTCAGGGATAGGGATACGTTCGAGGCTGGTAAGCACAAGCCGCGTGAGGGGTGCGCCGAGAGGGGCGACGTGGGCGCACGGAGGGAGTGCCGGCCTGTGGCGAGGCCTGCGCGCGCGAGCGCCCCCCCTGTTGGGGGCCGCAGGTGGAGTGCTCTCCGCCCCTCTGTGGCACGAGACGTGTGAAGGGTAGACTGCGTTGAGCGGGGGCGACTGCGTGCGCACATGCACACATGCGCACGCACACACACAACCATGCACACACGCGCACGCACACACACACACACACACAACCATGCACACACGCGCACGCACGCACGCACGCACGCACGCACGCACGCACGCACGCACGCACGCACGCACGCACGCACGCACGCACGCACACACACACACACACACACACACACACACACACACACACACACACACACACACACACACACACACACACACACACACACACACACACACACACTACACGCACATGCACACACTCACACACAGATACACGCACACACACACACACGCACGCACGCACGCACGCATGCACACACACCCACACCCACAGCCACACCCACACCCACACCCACACCCACACCCACACCCACACACACACACACACACACACCCGCACGCACGCACGCACGCACGCACGCTGCACACACACAACACAACACACAACGCACACAACATACAACACACAACACACAACACACAACACACAACACACAACACACTTACACACACCCACACACACACACACACGCACGCACGCACGCACGCACGCACGCACGCACGCGCGCGCACGCACGCACGCACGCGCACGGACACACGCACGCACGCGCTCACGCACGCACACACACACAGCACACACGCTGTCTCCCTGTATGTCCAGGTCATGGGCCAGGCGTTCCAGTGGCAAGTCAAGCGGCCGTGCAACTCCACGTCCGGCCGCCGCGTCCCCGATCGGGTGCCGGAGCCTGAGGCAGGCGGTGCGTTCGACCGCGGGGCCCGCGGTGGCCATGTGCCGCAGCGCGCGCATCTGGGGGCCGCGGCGAGCAAGTCTCCTGCCAGGGTGGCAACGCGAGCGGCGTCTCTCGGCCGACCCTGCAGCAGGCCCCTGTTCCACCCTTCGCCGGAGATGGCACGCACCTGCGCGCGTGTCCATCCTCAGCGGCGCCGCCGACGCTGCGCTGCTCAGGACGAGCCGCGCTGGCCCGAGTGGGCGTGGAGGGCCCGGCTCCGGCGCTGGGTCCATTCTAGCAGGGCCGAACGGCTTGGGGAACGAATGCGCCCTCCACCGGCGTCGCCCCGCGCTGGCCTCTGCGTGCTCGTCGAGCAGGAGCCCCTGCCCATCTGTGGATCCACCTAGGGGCCCGAGGTCCTCGCGCTGTTCTGCTATGGGCCGCAGGCCCATGTTGTAAGTCTTCGCCGCTGCAACGGCAAGGTTTGCGCGTGGCCTGGCCGCGACCCTCGCCCGTGGGCCGTGGCCCTGGTCGCTGGGAGGCACCGCGGCCGCTGCGCGCCTAATCGCCGCGTGGTGCATGGCGACGATTCGGTAGGGATCTGGGCTGATCCCCCCGCGCCTCGCGCCCAAGCGCCCGGGCCCCCGCGCGCCCGCGCGCCCGCTCGCCCGCGCGCGCACGCCCCCACGCACGCACATGCGCACGCATGCAGACATGGAAACACGCGCACGCGCACACCCACACACCCGCACATCCACACATCCATGCACCCACACACCCAAACACGCACGCACGTACACACGCACGCACGCGCACACGCACACACGGACACGCGGACATACGCACGCACGCACACGCGCACACGCGCGCATACGCGGTTCTCACCCACGCACGCGCACACCCCCACACATACGCACACGCGCGCGCTCACACACGCAAGCGCGCACGCACGCACACGCGCACAAACGCACACACACACACACACACACGCATACACACGTACACACACACGCACACACACACACACACACACACACACACACACACACACCACGCACGCACGCACGCACGCACGCACGCACGCACACACACACACACACACACACACACACACACACACGCCCACACGCACAAACGCACGCACACAAGCGCACGCGCACACGCCCACACACGCACGCACGCCCATACGCACCTACACACACGCACACACGCGCGCACACGCTCACTTTTTGGCGCCGCGGCCCTGCGCGCAGCGACAGGGCGGATAATTTCTACAAGCAGGTTGCGCGCGCGGGCTCTAAACTCGCAACACACGCGCGCGCACACGCGCACGCGCACACGCGCACACACGCACGCACGCATACATGCACACGCACACACGCACACACGCACGCACGCAAACACCAACACACGCCCACACGCCCACACGCTCACGCGCCTACGACCACACGCACACACGCCCACGCGCCCACGCGCCCGCATGCCCACGCGCTCACACGCGCGCTCACGCGCCCACGCGCCGCGCCCACGCGCCCACACTCCCGCGCGCCCACGCGCCCACACTCCCGCGCGCCCGCGCGCCCACACGCCCGCGCGCCCACGCGCACGTTCGCCCACGCGCCCACATTCCCGCACGCCCACACGTGCACACGCGTACACGCGCACACGCGCACACGCGCACACGAGCGCACGCTCACACGCGCACGCGCGCACGCGCGCACACGCGCACACGCGCACGCGGACACACGCGCACACGGGCCCAATTGCACGCGCACGCACACACCACACACACACACACACACACGCGCACAAGCGCACATGCCCACGCGCACACGCGCAAACGCGCACACACGCGCATGCGCACGACCGCACGCGCACACGCGCAAGCGCGGACACGCGCACACGCCCTCACGCGTGCACGCGCACGCGCGCACGCGCGCATACGCGCACGCGCAAATCCGCGCACACGCGAACACGCGGAAACGCGCACACGCGCACACTCGCAACGCAGACGCGCACACATGCACACACGCACTTTTTCCGTCATGGCGTGGCAGGGGCAACCCGCGCTTGCGTTCTAGCAGTCCGGGGGAAGTGCATAGATTGTCGTGGGACAGAGGGCGGCCGGAGAGGGCGGGCGAGTGGTGGGGAGGGCATTCACCGCACGAAGAGCTTCGGCAGGAATGGCCGGCGCGGCCGGATGTGGAGCGGCATCGCGCCCACTTTCAGGGGCTGAGACAAAGGCTGCAGGCGCTGAAAGCGTAGAGCAAGTCGAACCAGTACAGGCGCGGAGCGGCGAGCGAGCCCATTGGGGCGGGTGGCATCCACGCTCGTACAGGCATTGCTGCGGCACGGCGGCTGCGGGGCGCGGGAAAGCCAGCGGCCGCGGAGGCTGGCCAACGAGTCGCTCGTAGCAGCAAGATTTTAAACTGCCGCGCTGAGCTGCTGAGGGCCGAGCTGCAAGATTCCTGGCTGCAGCGCCAGCGAGGGCAGCAGCCGTGGCCCGTTGAGCAGGCCAGCTGCGAGGTGGCGCCGGCGGCGAGGAGCTGCCGTCCGCCGCCAGAGAGGCTCAGGCAGTGGCAGCCCTGGCCAGAGAGGCGGGAGGAGGAGGGCCGAACCCGGCCGGTGCACGCACGCATCACAGCCGGGCGCGGCGGGAACGCCCCGCCGCAGGTCTGGCGGGGCGGGGGCGCCCAGCTGCGGGAGGCAGCGGGGCTGGGGCGGCGAACGGCGGCCGGCCTGGCCGGCACAGGCAGCGCAGTTGGCCGGCCACCGAGGCGGCGGGCCGCGGAACTGGCCAGGCGAGGGCGCCCAGCAGCAGGGGCCGCATGGCAGGTGGCCCGGCAGGGACGAAGAAGCGCCACCCAGCGCGCGGGCCCCGTCGCCTCA